AAGTACCGTGCATGTCAGCAGAAGTCCAGAGAGAGAAAGAGGAAGATCCCAAACTGGCTCTGCACTATCAGCACAGAGCCTGATGCGGGGCTTGAACTCAGAACTGTGAGATCATGACCTGAGGCAATCAAGTCAGATGTAACCAACTGAGCCACCCAGGCACCCCCACCGTACTGTACTGTTAAGTGTAGATTTTCTGGTTAGACAGATCTCCCAAGGCCTATTCATCTTGCTTAACTGAAAACCTATACTTGTGATTAATAATTCCCCATTATCCCCTTCCTTTGTTCCTGACAACCATCATACCTCTTAGATTCTGTAGGAATCATGTAGTATCTTTCAGTGACTGGCTTATTTCTTGTGCCAGAATGTTTAAGTCCATCCAAGTTGTCACACATTTACCCGGAAGTCACTTCTGTTTTGAAGGTTGACTATTCCATTCCATTTTCCGTGTACATTTGTCTGTCTGTGGGCCGCTTGGGTTGTTGTTTCCACATCTTGGCTATTGTGAATAATACTGCAATGAACATGTGAGTGCTAATATTGCTTGCAGGTCCTGAATTCTTTGCAATAAATACCTAGAGTGGAATTTTAGGATATGTGTGGCAGTAGTTCTGTTTAATTTTTGAACCTCCATACTATTTTCCATCACAGCTGCCCTGTTTTGTATTCCCCTCAACAGTGTGCAGGGGTTCCAATTTCTCCACATTCCTCACCAACACTTTTGGCCTTTGTTTTTTGGTGTAGCCATCCTCACAGGTGTGTGATATCCTTGTGGTTTTTGATTTGTATTTACCTGATGATTGTGACGGTGACATTTATTCATACCGTTGGTCATTTATATCTTCTTTAAAAAATATCTTTGAAGCCTGGGTGGCTGGTCGGTTCGGCGTCCGACTTCAGCCAGTCGCGATCACCAGCGGTCCGTGATTCGAGCCCCGTCGAGCTTCTAGGCTGATGTAACCCGGTAGACATATTTCTGATCACAATGTGTCTCCCCTCTCTCTCGCCTCCCGTTCATATACTGTCTCTCTCTGTCCCAAAAATAAATAAAAAAACATGAAAAAAAATTTAAAAAAAAATATCACTTTTAAAAAGTAAAAAGGCACTTTAGGGAAAAAAAATTTTGCACATGAAAAGATCTAAGTTGTCATATCTTAAGCATTTGATTATTTTCTCTAAAAGCAAGTTAAAGCTAATAATTTTTCAAGATATGAATTTTATTTCGAAATTAAATGCACCCTTTTTTACTCTCTTACATATGAATATTCTTGTTATTAGTTTGAAACAGGTACTGGTTTGTCAGTAGGCAGCATCCTCTTCTACATTTCTTTCTCCGCTATATCTCTTCTCTCCTCTTCCCTTGACATTTCTGGAGTCATCACTCTATAAACCTTTCCCCTAATTTAACAATATTTTCAGTTTATAAAACTTACTTAAAAGTTTTTACTATATGGAGACAGGTCTGGATTTAGTTCTGAATCACAAGAATATGGATGCTATATAGGCTTCCTAAATTTCTAGTTTTTAGATTTTTTTGTTTCCATTTTTTGTTTTTTAGTTTTTTTTTTTAGTTTTCGTTTTTTGTTTTTTGTTTTGTTTTGGTTTGGTTTGTTTTTTTTTTCCTAGTGGCTCTGTTGGTTAAGTGTCCTAGCTTTGACTCAGGTCATGATCTCATAGTTGGTGAAGAGTTCAAGCCCCACATCAATCCCCATCAAACTTTCTGCATTGGGCTCTGTGCTGATGGTGCAGAAACCTGCTTGAGATTCTCTCTCCTGCTCTCTCTCTCTCTCTCTCTCTCTCTCCAAAACAAACCAAACCAAAACAAAACAAAAAACAAAAAAACCTAGAAAAAACTAAAAAAAACTAAAAACAAAAACAAAAAAATCTAAAAACTAGAAAAAGTTTTTAGAAGCCCATAGCATCCATATTCTCAGATTCAGAACTAAACCAGACCTGTGTCCATATAGTAAAACTTCTTTAAGTAAGTTTTATAAACTGAAAATATTGTTAAATTAAAAGGCTATAAATTATACAATAAATCTCAGATTAAAGAAAATTACAGATTATATTCGCAGCTTCTGTTCCTAATTTAACTAACTAAAATAAGTTTATTTTCTATTAAAGACCATAAATGTATCAAATGTTTCCAACTATGTTTGCCAAATGATAAATGTCAAAGTCAATTTGAATACTAATTTGATAATTTTCCTTTTCAGATAGTATGTATTACATTAAAATTAGAATAGAAAAGTGTTTTTTTAAGTTTATTTATTTTTGCAAGGAAGAGAGGTGTGCAATAGGAAGCAGCAGAGAGAGAGGGAGAGGAGAGAGAGAGAGAGAGAGAGAGAGAGCAGGAGAGAGAATCTCAAGCAGGTTTCTGCACCATCAGCACAGAGCCCAATGCAGAAAGTTTGATGGGGATTGATGTGGGGCTTGAACTCACCAACCATGAGATCATGACCTGAGTCAAAGTTAGACACTTAACCAACAGAGCCACTAGGAAAAAAAAAACAAACCAAACCAAAACAAAACAAAAAACAAAAAACGAAAACTAAAAAAAAAAACTAAAAAACAAAAAATGGAAACAAAAAAATCTAAAAACTAGAAATTTAGGAAGCCTATATAGCATCCATATTCTTGTGATTCAGAACTAAATCCAGACCTGTCTCCATATAGTAAAAACTTTTAAGTAAGTTTTATAAACTGAAAATATTGTTAAATTAGAGGAAAGGTTTATAGAGTGATGACTCCAGAAATGTCAAGGGAAGAGGAGAGAAGAGATATAGCGGAGAAAGAAATGTAGAAGAGGATGCTGCCTACTGACAAACCAGTACTGCTTCAAACTAATAACAAGAATATTCATATGTAAGAGAGTAAAAAAGGGTGCATTTAATTTCTTTGGAAGGAAATAAAAATTATATCTGGAAAAAATTATTACTTTTAACTTGTTTTTTAGAGAAAATAATCAAATGCTTAAGATATGACAACTTAGATCTTTTTCATGTGCAAATTTTTTCCTAAAGTGCCTTTTTTTTACTTTTAAAAAGTGATATTTTTTTTTAAATTTTTTTTCAAGGTTTTTTATTTATTTTTGGGACAGAGAGAGACAGTATATGAACGGGAGGCGAGAGAGAGGGGAGACACATTGTGATCAGAAATATGTCTACCGGGTTACATCAGCCTAGAAGCTCGACGGGGCTCGAATCACGGACCGCTGGTGATCGCGACTGGCTGAAGTCGGACGCCGAACCGACCAGCCACCCAGGCTTCAAA